TCTCATTGTACATTCTTTCTCTATCTCCCTCTTTTGTTTGTATTTTTTGGTATTTATTTTTATTTAAAAAAAAAAACGCTTTCACGATCGCAAAAAGAAGACAATTAAAATAAACTATTTAACGATCGAATCTCGTTGGTGCATCTCACGTGTTTTACATAAATTTTTTAAATAAACATGAACTAAACGACGAGCATACGGATGATGAACGACCATAGATTTAAACGAATTAATTTTCCTAGCGAAAAGAAAAAGAGTAAACGTGAAATATTTGTAACGACAGAAAACCCAAAAGTATTTGGCTTAGTATGGCTGTGTTTTAGGGCAGTGTTGTAAATCTGAAAGTTGTATACCCTTCGTGGTATGAAACCGTTTAAATTGCGGACCTTCGAACGCTGCCACGTGCCAATCCTCCGTCCCTATTTTATCCATTAATTTTATTCGTTTAATTATCAAACGGAGGAGATAAACCACGTGAAACCGTGTTCCTTCAAACGCATCATATAATTGAGGAAATGTCTTTCTCGAGGAAGCCATCACGAGTTTAGAAAATCTTAACACCTTATTGACGTCTCACTTCCGGTTAGAAGATCGTTAAATCTTTTTCTCTTTTTTGTAAAAATTAAGAAACGATCATGGTTTCTTATGGGAAATTAAAAGTATAACATGAAGATGATGCTACTAGCGAAAATAGTACTAATAATAAATGAGACATTGCTAAAATTTTTAATAAGAATTTTAATAATACGTAAGTACGTTTTATAACACTGTCGATAAGGTGTTAAAAAGACGGCGCTCGAAGATCGAGAAAGAGGAAGTCGTTTTCGAACAAACGGAAGCGGTTTGCACGTGCCGGTTTTGGTACGTCGGCGTTCGTGGTAATTTATTATTGTAACGAAATGCGAATGATACAACACTCTATATATAGATATATACATATATAAATATATAATTATACGATTTGTTTTTTTTTTCTTATTTTTTATAATTATTAAACAGTATAGACCGCGATTCTATCGCGATATTCGTGAACTTGCAGACAGATATCGTAAAACTTAATTGTATTAGGGGTATGCAGAAGTTTCTATTGTTCTTAAAACAATTTTGTTTGTTAATATTTTATAATGATGCTTGGCTTATGCTGTAAATAGCATAGTGAATTAGTAAGATAGCTTGTATCGTTATAAAATTGGTATAGCAAGAAATAATCGATAAAACTTAAAATTTCAGTTTTGCATACCCCTGATATCATTCTGCTATTGTACTAATTTTTATTACAAAATATAACGTTGATCTCCGGGTGAAGAGAAAGAAAAAAAAAAAATCTCGTTCCACATTTTCTTTTTTCTTTTTTTCTCTTTTCACAGGAGAGACTTTTCTCTCGACGTCCACGTTCGAATCTTGATCCAACACTGCATCGGTCACGGATAAATAAATCTTGTAAAATATTTAACGATGCGCGTGTTCCTTTCTAATTTATTTCTCGTCGTTCTCGCCGAAACGAATGGAAAAAAGGAGATACTTATCAATGTTGAAAACAATTATTTTATTTTTTTTTTTATTATGCTCGGTATCTCTTAATGCGTAAAGATCATTCGCAGAGTGACTTAGGAAAAACTTTAGTTACTACTTCTCTCGTTTGACCCCCTTCGCCCCTTCGATCCGCGTTGCGTATCCGCTGTTTTATTTTGTAATAGCGCATTTTGTATAAAAAGAATACTTACATACACATACACGCAAAGTGAAAAAGAAACTATATAAGTTCGGTTTGTATAAGCGCGAATTAAAGGGATATAAAGAGTTTAGGTTTTTTACTACAATTTTATATTCTTTGGACAATGGAAGAAAAAAGGTAGTACCTCGTTTTCTTCTCTTGACGATTTGTAACGTAGATAAGAGACACCTGTATGTTGATGTTCATGGATATTTAACCGAATACATTGTTACATTATTATTAAAAAAGAAATGAAAAGAAGAAAAAAAAAGGAAACAAAAAAAAAAATAATATGAAGTTTTAAAAATACATTCCATTTTTATTTGTTCTCTCAGCTCAGGTTTAACGTAACATAACATACATACAATATATGTATATATACGTACGTGTGTACTCGAGGAAAGAAGAAGAAAAAAAAAAAAAGAAAAAGACCAATATCCTTCTTAAGAGATATTTCTTAATCGATAGTTGTTTTGTATAAACACGAAGAGTCGCTAAAAGAAAGAACGAATTTATTTTTATCTTATCTGCCGGACAGGAACAGAGAGCAATCTTGTTATCCGTGCGTGTTACATCGAGAACAGTCACTCTGATTCTTTGTCATTACGCGTATAATCCCTTAATAAAGTGTTTCAATTAACAAAATTACGAAAAAACTAAAGTTTTTCTGTTAACTCTGTTTAACGTTGTTCTTTGCTTCTATTTTGTCCACGATGATGGCCTCTTTCCGACTCATGCTTCTTTTTCTTTTATCAATCTGTTGCACAGATTTCGTATTGTACATACTTGTAGATGAAATTCAAGGATATAATAGGAGAATTATAGCGTTTCGACGCACTGTGTATCCTTGTCTCGACCTGTCGAAAAAAGATAATGTACAGATTCAATTCCATTTTTCTTCGTTGAATATGTTCGTTCTTTCTGTTGACAGGAGTAATGACGAAGAATTAGCATGGAAATTAACACGTTCACTGTCAACGGAGGGGGAGGTGATCGGTGACCACCGCTACGAATAGTAATTTAAATAACTCGATAATACGGATTATTACTTTCAATTCTTATTTACCGTTCAATTGTAAAGCGATAAAGTGTTAATCATCCATATTATCGAGTTTCTGTTATGGCAGCTAACGTGTCGTATCTTCGTAGATCCTTGAAGACAACTCCTTGATCCTTGCTGCTTCGATGACAATACGTTTCTCGTCGAAACAGCGATCAAAAGCAAAACAAGGACCAAGATATTCAACGAACATAATTTCCATTCAATCTCTTCTTCTCTCTGTTTAAATCCAACTAATTCTTATCATTACGTTTCGTTTTCTTAGGCGTAAGAAACTAATCCTCTTAACCGAAACAGCGTTAAACATACACTTCCGCTCAAAAGTATTAGGACACTTGCTAAATTTCATATAAACATGACAAAGAAAAAAAAAAAAAGGATTAATCCTCACTAAAGTGTACAGATTTAAAAAGAAAAGATAATGATGCATAACACGATGGAAAAGGACTTTCCCCGTGATTTCTTGGAGAACCCCGCGACAACTGTGAAGTTCGAAGAAAAAAAAAAAATGGCCGCCAGTTCTTCCGGTTTATCTTTCATTACCGACGAATCCTTGTTGGGAACGATATCGTTGAACGGATAACGAAAGGAGGAAGTTCAAAGTCCCTCGTTGATCTATACGTGTGTTTATACGATATATTATATATATTTATACATGCGTACATATATATATATTCTATATACATTACAATTGTACATACAAGAAACACACACGCAAGTACCAGTGTAAACGATATTAAAAACCAAGGTCGAGGATCGGAAAAGCCTTCGACGAGGAAAGCTCAATGTATAGACCGTGTGTACAGAGTATTCATAGTTAAACGGCGACGCTGTGAGAATGTTTTCTAAGTACATATAACATATAACATATATACACAAGAGAGAAGATAAGTTTCTTAAAAGAAAAAGAAAAAAAATAATGTTGGAAGCTGCGCTTGTAGTATTCTCGAGTGTACGTTAAGCAGAGCAATATTCGTCCAATGGAATATACATAGGTTTATCGACACTGAAACTTGTAATTAAGATCCATGAGATCCTTCATTTTCTACTCCCCTCTATGTATATAAATACGAAAAATTGGGATACAGGTACTTGTCGTCTGTAAAGCGTATCGTGGCTCCTTTTTGTACTGTATCGACTTTCGACAGTGTGTGGACATTCCGCTCGAACGTCTTATATTGCCTGTGTGAAAATGGATCTTGGATTTACGTTCTTCGTTTTTCTACTTTATATCTCCCCCTCGTTCACGCGTTTTCGTTTCGACGGCTGGTTTGCGACACCGGTATTGCCCCTTCGTGACGGAATTGTATAGAAAAATAAACGAAATATTTAATAAACAATTTATGGATCATTCAACAGATTAATCGTTTTCATGTGAATGTCCGGGATGTATTGTTCCATTGCAATTCGTATCTTCTTGGTATCTTTAGAAAAGGAAGAATTTCAATAGCCCCGTGTTCTATACCTCCATCTTGTGCATACTTGTATTAACATCAATCGATGTAGGACAAAGATATTTTGCAAGGAGGCGTATAAAAACATTACTTTCATTGATTTTAACATTGCAATTGCATTTGGGAATATACTTTTTTAAATTCCAAGTTCAAAATACTTTTTCTCTAAATTTTCTTTTTCAAATTTGTGTCGCACCTAACCTATGTAGATCTAACCTATATCCGAGAACAATTGCAATGATAAAAAAAGTGTTTAAAAATTCGGATAACCCTTGCAGTTAGAACTTGTATAAAAAAGGCGATGTTTCAAAAGCTAACAAATTGTTAGTTTGAACAAAAGGTCAATTATCGCGTTCGTACTTGAAAATTCTCGAACCTAAAAATTATCCAATAATTATATTATAAAATACACTATTATTAAAATCAAAATACAAGTGTCATCGTTCTTTCATGTTCCGTCGAAATTCAACCCTTGATGGAGCAAATATCGTTAGTCAGGAACGAAAGCTAGGTTTAAATATCGATCGGCGTCTACCGCGTTAAGCATTGAATTGCAAATTGCTTGTCTGTCCTTCACTTATCTGCACCTATTAACAGTCGTAATTCCTTGGAGTTGTTGAGTTTCAAGTTTGAACATTAATCGATAATTGCAACACAGGTACCGTCGATTCTTGGGAAAGTAGCAATCGAAATTGATAAGGCGAGAATTTATCGCAACAGCTATTTCGATATCACAATTGTAATTATCGATTCAAATAAGTTTCACTAATATGGAAATATGTGCTTTGTTCGTTTTTATTTAGCATACAAGCAATTATGATTCAGTTGCTAGCCGATCGAAATTTCTGGATTGTCGGCGAGTCATAACCTGGATAACGTGGACGGTGATTTGCCAGAAAGCAATCACTCGTAATTTGCTTTCAAACAAGATCGTACGAGGTTTAATAAATTCATATAAATTACGTTTGCGTACTGGTCAGGTAATTGTTTATATCCAGCTATTTTATCACCGATTTGAACAGAAAACAGAATGCATGTATCGATAATTTAAGATATTAGGAAATATCATTGTTCATTTATTTAAATTGCAGTGAAAATTCGAATGCATACTGCCTACCACTGTTCGTTCAGGTCATGATACGACCCGATGCGTCATTTGATTTTTATAATTGAAAGAAATCCAAACATATTTTCGCATTACAAACAGTAAGTTGGATCGCAGAGTGATTCAGAATTCGATGTAAAGAATGGTGCAACGGTGATCTGGACTTGTTGTTAACAGATACAGCGAAAGAGAGAAGCGTATGTCAGCTAACGACACGGCTTGGCACGCGTGGCCAAGATGGTGGTGGTAATGGAGGCACAACGACGATAGTCGGGACTTCTCTGCGTGTCATCGTCTCGCTTCAGTGTTCCTCTTTAATTCGTCGCTAGCTCCTCAGAGGGTGTACGCCGTTGATGATGCACGTTTGTAGTGGGAAGTTGTTAATGTATTAGTCGTGCATCATCAAGAGGAGAGAGATCGGTAGACGGTCGGTATATCTGTGGGATCGCTGCTGCGCCGTCCAAAAATAGATAAATGAACGACGAGCGTGCTATCCTTGTTGTCGGTGGTTCCACGCACTCTGTAACAATGCATGATTATTAAAAGGTTCGTGGCTAACGCCAGTGAGGAATGGAGGTGCTCAAAACCAGTCAGGAGATAGTGCACGAAGGGTGGCTCATTAAATCGCCACCTACGAAACTCTGGCGAGCGGTTAGTATTTTAGAGAACGATGGAAAAATTCAAAACCTTTACTCCTTCGCAAACTTTTCATTGTTTACGTTTTTAAATACTTGTCAAAGCTACTGTATTTGTGCCTCTTTATTAAACTCTAGCACATTCTAACCTAATACGATTATACTTGTCTCACAAATATCAAATATTTTGCTATTTCTATTTAGGGGCATTAGCATTTTCATCAATTGTTTATTGCATTTTTTTTTAAATGACAGTAAGATTTATTTATACAATAATATTTATTTATTTTTAGCGATGGAGGAAAAGGTGGTTTGCTCTTCGACATAGTGGAGAGCTACCTGGACAATACTTTTTAGAATATTATACAGATAGACGCTGTAGGAAGCTAAAGGGTCGTATTGATCTTGACCAGTGTGAACAGGTAATTTATTTCAGTCAGGGATTTATTTGATTTTTTAAGTTACATTAGAATTTATCTATAATTGTTTATAGGTAGATGCAGGCTTAAGATTTGAAAATAGAAAGCAGAAGTATCAATACATGTTCAATGTGAAAACACCAAAAAGGACGTATTATTTAGTAGCAGAAAGCGAAGCTGACATGAACAAGTGGGTAGATGCTGTTTGTCAAGTTTGCGGATTGAAGGCATATACCCAAGATGAGGAACAGCAATGTCAAAGTATAAATTGTTATTTAAATTTATCAAGGTTTACTATTATATTAGATTTGATCTGAAATTATAACACTTCCTTACAGTGTTCCAATTTGAATCACAAGAATCCCCACCAATATCACCTAGTAGCACCATATCTGGTCCTTACATTCCTATTAGCGAATGCATTTCTGGACGACGGTTAAACGATACTAGTTCTCTGAATTCGGCTCTGGGACAAGGACCTGAGCACTATGACGCCCCACGACGACTAGCACCTTCTCCTCCGAGATCTCCGACGACAACTGACGCAGAAAGTGTTTTTACCGACGACGAGTGGACTGCCCCTGTGCCTAGCGTTAATTGGGAAACATTTCCTTCTTCAGGTAAGTAGTCCCTAACATGTGTTTTCATTTTTCTTTAACGTATAGTTTAATTTAATCTTTCATGATAGGTGAACCTAAACAACCGGCCAGTTCGAGCGATGCGGAAATTGGTTCTTGGAGCGTCAGGAAGCGATTTGGAAAATTGAGAATCGTCGATTCAGCCGTACCGCCCGCCGTAGAAAAGTTACCAGCACCCCCTAGACCACCAAAACCTCCTCACATGTTACCTGAAAATCCTGGTCATAATTACCTAAATTTAGACGGTGCTACTGAAAGCTCAAAACCAACCACTCCGGCTACTCCTGCGCCATCAACACCGGCGACCGCAATTGTAACGGATGAATCATACGATTTTCCAAGATCTCATCAGCCGGGACAAGCATCCGATACTAATCCAATCGACCAATCGTCTAAACATTTTTATTCGAACGCCGCTCCCAGTACCGTCGAGGAAACGCGTGTGTTCCGTTACGATTTTCATCAAGAAGAGGAACCATCGAGTCCTCGTTCCGAAAGCTCAGCAACTGCTACGTATTCAAATTTACCAAGCCCCCTTATTCGAGATAATTCAACTACAGTACCAACGACGGTAGCACCACCGCCGCCAATTGTCTATCGAGAATTAAAACCAGGAAGAAAAACTAGCGATTCTATGTCGATAATTAGTAACGAAGCATCCCCAGGACCGGTGGCTTCAGCTTTGGAAATGAGTTCTGCCGAGCACTCCCCTGCTGAACCACCAAGTATTAACAGAAAGCTCAAACCACCGCTAAATAAATCTCCTGTAGAAGGTATAGATATTTATAGTATGTTTTTGATACAAACTAGTGAATTTTAAGAAAAAAATTTGAGCTAGGTTTCGACGGTGTTACAGGGCCATTGCAATTAGCATCTCCACCTGGAAGAGGAAGAATTAGGGCAGCCCCAAGTCCTACGCCTCCGTCTCATGTACATTTGAATCGACATCAGTCGACGTCGGATGAAGATAATAATATTTTTGATGACAAAGAAGAGGTACTTAAAAGTAGATTACACTTTATATTTCAATATGATTTTAACATTGTCATTAAATCCCTTTTCCAGATCTACTATTATCAGGATGAAAACACATTTATTCCTGCTTCAAATCGGCGTCTCGTTGTTTTGCAATATTTAGATCTTGATTTGGAAGCGACGGAAAATTTCTCTTCCTCTAGTTTACCACCGACTCAGTCCCCGCCTAGTACAACAGTATACAAAACAGTGGATTTCTTGAAAACCGAAGCGTTTAATCGTACTCGTCAACGAGTCGAAGAGGAGAGGAAACAGTGCACGGACGAACTGGCCTAGCTTTAAATCGTATTTTTGAAAATTGCTACATCTAACAAAAGGAGGACAAGAAAAGAGAATTACAATTCTTAGGTAGAGTATAGTAATTGTATTACTTACTAGCACATCACGATATTATAAAAATACTGCGATACCTACGCAGTACTTAGCAATCTTTCAAGTGATTTAAAAATTTTTATGTTTATTATATTAAATCGAAGATGTTTGACAAATCTTCGCGATCAATGGCATACGATAGGTTGAAACTCGAAAAAGAGCAATATTCAATGGACCAAAAATGTAATGTTAAAGTTAGAGAAAATGATAAAGAGACGATAAAAGAGCACAATTTTGTGAAACTCGTTATATCAGAATTTGTTATAGAATTTTTAATTAGAGGAGTAAGTATTATTATATTTAGGTACCATTACCGTTTTTACGTAGATTTTACACGCGTCTGATGTGAAAAAGGCATTTTTTTTTTTTATTATTATTGACCGTACAACGAATTAAAAATATGTATGGTATTGCTGAACTTTTTAGATATTCTAATTTTAAGTATTGAACAAATAATATGTAATATATTTTCAAAGTGCCTGAATTTATTGTTTTTTTACTAAGATGATAAGTTGTTTGTTATTGCATATCAATTGCATGGACAGTGGAATATTGTATTTATGGTTACAGATATGACGAACGTATGAATATTGCAACTATTTTTGAGAAAGTAGTGTTTTTGAAAATTTATTTTCTTTATTCGTTTGATTCCGATAGGTTTCGGCTTTTTGAATGGAAGCCGTTAAAATAATTGTTTATATCTGACAATTTCTGAATTAAATTATATTTATATTGTTTCCTATACAATCTTTTCATTTTTGTAAACATATTTATATTTAACTATTAACAGTGTACTCGCTGTACCTGCTGACATGGGTTACTAACGTATAGTAATAGAAATTCTGGCCATAAAATCATAATGAAACGAAAGATGTACACATATTTTTAACAGCTATTACAGCACAGAACTGCATGCCATAATTAGATGTGTATACATATATACGCACTAAAAGTATGTGAAAAAAAAAAATATATTTTATGTATAGGAGATGCATATATGGTATACCATTTTATTTTTATAATAGCTGTATTATAATTTTTATACCAATGAAATTTTTTATGTTATCAAAAGTTGCCTTGTCATTTTAAACAAATTTTTAATTGCCGAAGTTTCAAATTATATTTCGGACACATTAAAAACGAACAGAGTATACATAAATACATGTGATGGTATCCCTGAAAATTGAAAATTAATATTTCAATTACACCCGAGCGTTAATACATGTCATTTATATTAATGTATAACAGGCGTGACACATATCACTGAAAAAAAAAAAGAAATGCAAACGAATACATTATCGACATATCTATATTGTTTTAAACAATTTATGTATCGTTAGCACAATTTTAATTATAAATCAATGATTGGAAATTAAATCGTGTGTTTAGTGATGTGATTAAATAAAAATCTTGTTTTTTATGTAATTGTGAAAACGTAACAAACATTATTGACGCGACGTTAAAATAAACATTCGCTCAAATTTTTATTTCTTGAACAAAACCTTACAAATATAAAATAAGAAATTATTTAAAAAAAAAGAAAATGGCGGTTGTTATTTGTCATTACCACTTAGTGGTTACCGACGATTTAAATATAAGTTGGAAATTGTTAATGATAACTATTATTATAAAAACAATGATTATTTATTTAACAATTGATATCGTTCGTCGATAAAATAAGCTACCGTATCGACTTGACAGGAAAGGTCGTTAAAACCTTCACGCGTATGCTGCCAGGTTATTGGCCTGCGTGGTGGTTGGTGGGACCCGGCTGAAAACAGAGCCTCATTCGCTCGCCAACCGTCGAGCGTGCGTCACGTGTTGTCTTTCGGGTTAGTCGCGGTTCGTTGTTGTCCTTCGTCGTGGAACAGGATTGTATCGTGTATAAATCATTTACGGGTCGCGACAAAGAATATTTAGTGTTCTTTATTTTTATTTGTGTTGAATCTGTGAAACGTTCCGTTTTTGTGTTTTAGTCCGTTTGACTGTTTTACCGAAAAGTGTGTTCGACTCTGTGCAAGCGGCCTATTTTACATCTAAACCGAGACCGACATTCAACGAACTGGAAGGCATCGAAAACAATTGTCGCGGCTATCCGAGTTTTGTTTCCAAGGTAAGTTTATGTCTTTTATATACATAGGATATTATAATAAATAGCATGTGTCGAAATTTTGCGTTCCACGTGATGATCGATCCGAAGCCACTTGTTGGCTATACAGAGATGTGCATCAACTGACGTTGCTGGGATTTTAACATTGACGTAATTGCTTGGCGTTTCTTTGTTCGTGTAACATAACTGTAATTGATCACAGTAAACAACCATTTATTTCCTTGCTTTACGTACAAGCATTAGCCAAGCATAATTTTGTTTCACGAGTCTAGTCAAAACATGTAAACGTATGGTTATATTTTATGACATAAACGCAAAATTCCTGACATATTTTTGTGACGTCATTAGGAAAGGGTTCCTAGTTCTTTTTGAATAATTCAGTTGAGAACTGAACATGGACTCGTCCTACCACTTGTGGCTTTTCTACCTGACCTCTATCTATATAGTAATTAGTATTAGCGTTTTTGACCCTTTCTTATTGTAACGTGACAGTACGAGTATTTATTACGTAGTTAATTCGACGCTTCTGAAAAGCTCATCATTCGACTACTGCTTTGAACAATTCCGGAAAGGACGTTTAGCCTCGTTGAATAAGCGTTGCCTGGGGAGCTTATTTTAAACCGATGTCGTTTTATTGGGCGTTACGAGCGTTTCCTTCTTTATCATGAATTGTCAAGAAAAATTTGTCTAAGGACACGGGTGGGAGGGTGTTTCTTTCTCAAGCGTGTTTCATCAGTCTAACAATGTTTATGGTTTCCCCTGTACATGCAACGCCAGCTCGTTATGTATCCACATTGTTGTTGCGTTATTGGCGGTTATTGCGAAGCTCGCCGGAGTAAGTGAGAAATTCTCATGCACAATAACGATCATTATCGGTAACGCTGTTTGGGCGAGCGTAATACGACGCGTGCATTCCTTTCGTCGAGTTTCGTAACGCCGCCATGTTGGAAAAAAAAGAGATCGAACTTCGAGACATCGTCATGCGATATATCGATTCGATTATTATATTCAATCGGTACTTGAATTTTTCAAACATGCAAATAGATAATTAACACGAATAATTAAAAGAAAAGAATAGAAAAAAAATTATTTTAAGTAATACTGCTATGGTAGAAATAATATGAAATGGCAAATAGAAAGTTTGAAAATTAATTACTACTGTTCTTAGTAATTAGAGCTTTAATACGTTCCACAAAAAATGTCCAATTTCACTGTGGCGTTCAACGTGTTAATACATTTATTAAGTAATTAACGGATGACCCCTTCCCTCGAAATTTCATTAACACTTTGATAATTGGAAAAAGGTAGTTTCATTCGATATTGATTTCATTTTGGCGGACCGTGGATCTTCGTGATCCGGGTATCTCGAGCGAAGCTGTTACTTTGGTAGATTCTTTTGTCAGTGGAATACAAAGTTCATCGTTTTCTTTCAATCTCGAGGGGAAAAGGAAGAAACTGTTGGCACATTATTGCAAGCTTTCCTATCGGGATATTATCCGACTTGGCGCAATAAAGAAATTGAAAGACGATCCTTTGTGAGCGACGAATTTATCGAGAGCTTGCGGAATGCGAAGCCTTTCGGATCAACTGTTTACTATTCTTTACCCTTCCAAGCTCCGAGTGAAGAGCAAATAAAGTGCCTTTCAGGTATTTCTTACGAAAATAGTCCTGTCTCGTACACTGCCGCTCAAAAGTTTCGGAGCACTTATCATTTTCAATAAACCCCTGACATCTTGTATACGTAACAAACTATGAATTGCTGTTGTCGTTGTAGTTTAATAAATAACACAATTTTTTTTCGAACTATTGTTTATCATAAGCTCCATTTCCACCACAATGGATTAGATCCCTTTTTCTCTCAAATTTACGCGAGATTTAGTAAATATTGTAGCGGCAGTGTACAGCTGAAAGAGATCCAGAAGTCCATTCAGTTCCCCGTTCCTCTTTTTCGTAAAATCTTCGCCAGCTAACTCGATTCTAGGAATTGAAAGCTTTTCCGGCGCATTCCAACGGTTGTATCGCATTTTCTGAGGACCGGTTTACGCGCGTCTTGCAGGTACATCGTTCGGTAAAAACCGCCACCCACGCTAAAAGCAGGATTTATCTGTGGCATTTATTCGTAGCATCCTAAAGCAAGGGTGGGCAATTGTTTTGGCTCGGGGGCCACTTTGTGGAAGCGGAGCACCTTTTAAAATGATTGCATTCATTAGTTAACTTCAATAAAAATCAATAAATATAAATGAAGTAAAATAGTGGCAGTTTTATTCCCAGTGGAAAATTCAAGGTGGATTTTTCTAACTGTCTTGGTGAGCCACTATTTGCCTACCCCTGTCATTTCGAACCGATCATCCTATGAATATTCCTCGTTCGATCAACGCTGTCAGCGAGTTTAACGTGGCCATGAACAAACTGTTGGAACAGAAATTAGATTTTCATCTTGCTCGGCGTTGCGTTCGGACAATGAGTTGCGCAATTCCTCGCGTCGGAACGCATTAACGCCTTACCTCCCTCTGTTCCCTCTTCTTTCACCTTAGCCAGGTTCGAAGCAACGCGTTACACGCGGCGTTTAGATTGGTGTAACAACAGGCAGGAAGCACGCCAACAAATCCTGGGATCGCCCGTTCCTACTTACACGTAGTACAACACGTAAAACGAAACTTCCTTTCCACTCGCGATCTTCCAAACTGGACGATTATTTCGTCCAACTCGGTTGACGATCCACGTGAGAAAGTGAAAGTGAAATTCATTCCGATATCAGGGAATATCGGTAAAATTATCGAGGGAAACAGGAATCACGCACCAATTGGCGGCATTTTCGTTCGTTCCCGACGCTTTCCGCCGACAGGCGTGTCCCGTGGCTGATATTACGCGTGCATAGAGTAACACGCGTGTGCGGTTTACATATTGCGTTAGAGAGGAAAGCAAGAGAGAAGAGTTATATCGAGTCGACCTGGTTTAGGCGCGCCCTACAGGCGCCGAGAGAAAGAGCAGCAAAGAACCGACTGGCTTTGAAATGTCAGGGACTGAAAGCTCTGGAGAACGGATACGCGGTCGATGCCATAATGAAACTATCGATTATTCCGTTCGTCAAATGTTTCGGAAAAAATGATGATACACAGAAGAGTTATCAAAGATTCCTCCTCGTTATCCTCTCGATATCGTCGCGTGCAGTAACCGGTGGACGCGGACGCGTTCGTCTCCGCGGCGAGTTTTCTCCGATCGAAACTGGTTCGCGGATAAGGTCTTTAACCTTCCCAGCCTTCGTAGTTGGATCGGTCTAGGAATGAGGCAAAAAGAAGGTGCCGGGTAACGAAGCCAGTCCTTTCTCGGAGAAAAGGAGCGCGAGCTTTTGTCAGGATCGTCCTGAAACGCGGAGCTTCCGCTTTCTGTTGCTTCTGCGTGGAAACGACCTTGCCAAGTATTTATCATTTCGCGAGATATTCTTCTAAACAGCACCGTCGTTGCTCATTATTTTTATACCATCTCGCTGCTTATGAAGCGACTAATGTGACAGAAAGCGATGCGTCATTCGTATATATGGATGACGCGGCAATCAGAATGTTAATAGCAAACTCGCTGAAACTTTCGTCGCTTATGCATCGTATTCCAGCGAAGTCAGTTTCGATCGGTACTCTTCGCGATCGGGGACAAAGGAATACTTTATTCTCCAAGACATTCGTTCGACTTCTATTAATACATCTACCGGTCTGTCGAGAAATGACGAGTTATCTGGGCGTCGTTGCCCGGTTTCTAACACGCGCCACTAGAAGTTGCCTGAAAGGTGTGTTCGCCGGCAGGTCACTAGCCTAGAACGATTCCTCCGTTCTGCGCTCGCTTCTCGAGTGACTCCGCAGGTCTAGCTGCCGCAATCGGAGAAAGTTTCGAAACGAAGGATAAGTCGGCGATGCCGGAAACGGTAGGCCTCCTGCATACTTTCCACGGATCACCCTCCGACTTTTCACTGACGCTCCTTCCTCTGGGTTAAACGATAAAACTAGTCCCGTTATTGGTGAAAACACGCGTTTACAAACGGGTTAAGACTTGGAAGGAGCACCCGAATAGGTTCGATCCTCCGTGGTTTGCTACCATTTCAGGTAGCTTTGTTAGACATCCGAGTTCTCAGGAAAATATTCCCAACGGTTCGTTAGCATCGCATCCAGTTTCATACTCTGTTTTCCATAACGACTCGACGATGTGTACTTCCGCGGTATCGGCGCTTTACTGTTATTCGTCGCTAAAAACGTTTAGCCTAGTTTCGCGCCGTGCTCGCTTCTGACTGTTGTCAGACTTTTCATACCGGGATTCCATCGATTTCACGTTCGTTTCAATCGGTTCTCTTGTTAATATCTGGACACTTAAATTTTCAAACAT